AACTTTATAAATATTTATAATTTTTTAAAAACCTTTAATATATTATTTTGGAAAAAAGTTACATATGAAGTAACATTACATAATTGAGACGTAAGAATAATTAAGATGAACATAGTCAGACTTTTAAGTTTATCGGTAATTTTTATTTAGATACTTGAATGTATAATAATTTACTTCTATGGATATTTTCGCCTCAAATTTATAAAAAACAATCAATTGATAGTAGCTTTTCTGTTGTTGCATTAATAATGTGACTGTTTTATTAATTTGGAGGGGTTTAATTAGTAATAGGTGGGCAGTAGATTAATTTATAAATTATACTAATAAGTTAAATTATAACAAATAGTTGAGAGCCACGTATTTAAAAAAATATTTAAATAGTTTAATTTTAAAATCATTAAATAAGTGGTCAATTTTGAACCAAAAGGTGACAAGAGTCTTTTGGAGCCAATAGGTGGGTGCGAAGGGTATTTTGGAGCCAATAGGTGGATGAAAGGTAATTTTGTACCATTTCCAATACTTTGAGGGTATTTTAGGCCCTTTTCCGTTCTCAAATTTCAGCGAATAAGACATCTAATTTCAAAAAGGAAATAAAACTTGAATTGTTTAGTTATCTTAATTTCATAATATCTAAAAGAAAATATTACTAACATGCATATTTGATCAATTTGTTTTTAAAAATAATAATAATCAATAACCCAAATTGTAACCTAAAATTAAAGCAATCTATCTTTTTATCTTACTTGAACGTTGTGGCACCCACGATCTTCAAATTCTAGACCGCATCTGCTCACAGATCATGATTTTTAGTTTAGCCTTAAAAGTCGCAACCTTATAAAAAAGTCGTAACTATTTAGAAAAGTCAGAACTCTTTACAAAAGTCACAAATTTTCACAAAAGTCACAACTTATCATTTTTCATTCACACCTTTTAAAATCCAATGCTTAATTCAAGACACCAAAAGAAGAAAGACTAAACAAAAAAATTGATTTCAATTCTAATGCAACATTGCTACTTTTGCATCTCTTAATCCGCAACTCATAACGCTGATGTAATGGTTGAATTCATAACATTTGTTTACTTAGTAAACAAAATTCCTATTTCAACCACAATTATTTATAGAATTTTTTTCGTTATAAGGGAATCAAATTCAACTACTTTAATTAAGCTTCTTATGAAGTGTTTCTCATTCCTCGAAGTTTTCTTCCTAAAAATTCCTAAAGCTTAGGGCCCGTTTGGATTGACTTAAAATATATAGCTTTTAAGTCAAACATAAAAAGTCAAACTGAAATGACTTTTAAGTCAAAAAATAAAAAGTAGGGGGAGACTTATACTTTTGGTTTTGGACTTATTTTTAGTCATTTTTTACCTTGTCAAACACTTCTCAACTTATTTTAAGTCATTTTTTATTTATTTTTATATATTTGTCAAACACTTCAAAAGTCAAAAACTAACTTAAAAGTAGGTTTGACCGACTTTTAAGTCAATTCTAACACCTCTTAATATCTTACTGCAAGCCATAGTAATTCATGTAACTATTGCAATTTCTTGTTGCTATTTTGATGACTTTCTTTTTAACTATATTAAAAATCTCAACAAGGATGGTTGAAAACTGATCCTCTTTTGTCCTTTTTAACATGCTTCTTCATATATATTTTGGTTAGTAAACAATACTTCTATTTCTGTAACTATCATTTGTTTGGTTTTTCCGTTATAAGGAAGTCGAATAAAAATACATTAATTAAGCTTCTTATAAAGTGTGTTTTATTTCTCAAAGCTTTCTTACTCCCATTTCATGAAACTTAATCTTTTATTACAAGTCATAGTCATTCATGCAATTTCTTTTTTTGCTATTCTTGTGACTTTTTGGAACTCAGTTAAAAATTCCAGCAATGATGCTTGAAAATTGATCTTCTCTTTTCTTCATTTCTACAAGCTTCTTATATACTTTATGGAAAAATTGATTGTGGTTATGCTATATTTGATAGCAGACAACAACAAATATGAGATAACTAATGCAGAACCATGCAATGGTGAAATTTGTTAAAAGAACCAAATCGATTTTTCTCTTGCTTGTCATAGTTAGTATATAATTGTGATTGTTTTATTTTAGGTAAAAATATTTTATATGTCATTTCACTCTTCTTAAAATACTAGTAAAGAGACAATAAGTCCACTTATCTTATCGCAAGTTGACTTATTTGTCATGTTTCTTCCTCTCTTTTTTTTTGACATAATAAAGATCAAGTTTTCTTGAAACTAATTGATGCATGCACATTAACGAAGAGTGCTAGAACTTTATCGACATTAATTTATTGTTTTAGATTCAGTGTACTACTATAGGCTTTAGAAACATTTATAAAGAGTATTAATCGTCTCATAAAAAAATATTTAGCAGCAATTAAGTTATTAGTTGGCATTAAAAATGATTTTTGGTGTAGTGATATACCTCTTTTTTTTTGGCTTCTTTCAATTAAATTTGTGAACTAAAAACTTTGATACACCCCGACAGACTATCTTTTTTAAAACTATGTTAAGCAACATGTCTTTTTCTTCTTGATTATTAGGAAAGTAAAATCATCTTTATTATTATTTGTGGATATTTTTGAGCTCAAGTGCTCAAAAAATTATGCTATTAGATTTTAATATGTTATGTTTCAAAATTTTGATATCCAGTTGTGAACAACTCCATTTAGATGTCACATATTGCTTGGTTGATCATTGCATTAATTCTTTGTAACTGTCTACTATAACCATAACAATAACAATAATTCAATTCCAAAGAAATTGAGGTCGGTGACATAAAACCTAAAATAGTAATGAACTTTCTGAGATAATGAGAAAACCTTTATGATGTTAACAATTTTAGGGTCATTTTTTATATATACATAATATAACATACTATAATAAAAAAGAAAATGATGTTCCTAAGAAAGGAGCGAAGGTCCCTCATTGGAATTTAGTTTATTTTGTTCTTGTATGGACTTAATGGTCCACTTTACTTGGGAGTGTTGTTTGAAACTATTCTGTCTGTTTTTTAACGTGTTTGATGTTGTTCTATGACTTCCTGAAATTTAAAAAATTTTGTTACTTCTTACCAAATATTTTCACGAAGATTTTCATATATTTCTTGCGTATACTTAAAATTTCTCTACGACTCATAATTTTCTCATAACAAAAAAAAAATTGCATTTTAAAATTTTAGAAAAACGTTTTGGCTTAAATAAAATAATCTTGATAATATAATGTATGTGTCAAAAATACGAATATTATTAAATGATCATAGATAAGCTTAAAAAAATAGTTCAATCACGTGCGAAGCTCAGATAATCTATCTAGTTTACTTAATAATGAAAAGAAAATAAATTACTTGACCATGTTTCTTCAATTTAGAATTATTTTTTTTAAAAAAAAAATCTATAATTCTAGGAGAAGAGAAAAAAATATTATAAAATAAGATAAATTTGAAAAGAAATCCAACTCAAAGTGTCCAGATTAATTGTATTTTCTAAATAATGATAAAAAATTAAGCATGAAAGTGGAAAGAAAAAAAAAACAAATTGCATTAACTAGATTTCTTTGGTTAAGATAATACTTGACTATAAATAGGACTTCTCAAGTAAACCATGTAAATTAAATACACAAATAGATTCTTTCAACACTTTTCCAATCAATAACTTCTCAGGACTCGGGCCATCACTGTCTCATCCATCTCGTTGGTAATCGTTACTGATGATTATTTTTACGATAAATCTTTATCATCGAATTTAGTGTCGCAATACGAAATTATATTGATGTTAAGTTTAATGTTAACTTAGAGACTGTCATAATAAATAAAAATGTATTACTAGATGAGGAAAACATGCTCAATCTAATTACTTCGTTGTCAACAAATAGTACTTTAAAGATACAGACGACGACGTCTAAGCCTACATTTCTAGAGTATCTTTGTCTGTACCAGAGTTAGATTGAGCATATTTCCTTCTTCTAGTAGAACATCTTTATTTAGTGTGGTGGTCTCTACGCTACAGTCAACTTAATATCGATGTAGATTTCAGTTTATAACAGTGAAATCAACGATAAAGAGTTATCATGAAAGTCATCTTCAATAACGATTACCGACGAGATGGATGAGATAGTGACGACTTCAATTATCAAATAAAATTATTAGTTGGGGAAGTGTTGAAAGAATCTATTTGGATATTCAATTTACCTAATTTACTTGAAGAATTGATTTATAGTCAAATATGATTTCAATTAAAGAAATCTAATCAATGCCATTTGTTTCTTTCCATTATATATATATACTAGACTATATAAGCCCGTGCAAGCAAGGGCCTAACAACGCTTTCATAACTAAAAAGATGTATTTTATTTCTCTCTTTTATAACTAAAAAGATGTATTTTATTCCTCCGTTCATGTTTGCCCCATAGTTTCTATTTTTAAAATTAAATTATAAAAACTTTAACTAACATTTTAAAATGTATCTGTTACGCAAAAAATTGTAATTTATAATATTTTTCATATAGTTTTAGAATACCTAATTTTTTTGTTCAAAATATTAACTTAATGTAATCTAATTTACCTTTAAAAATTAATTAAATTGACTTTTGATAAACGTAACATGACAAACAATTCCGAACGGAGGAATTATTAATTTTTGCATAACACTTGTGTACTCTAAATATTTGATTGTTCTATAGAATTGCAAATTAAAACAGGTTTCTCGCCGTATAAATATTGATGAAATAGCTAGCTGAAAGTCCAATCATAAGCTGAAACAATGTTGTAGAATTAGGAGAGTACTTGAGACATTTTTGGCTGGTTTCTTCAATAACTAAAATAGTACTCCTACAGCAGAATAATAATAAGCCGAGTGCGGAAGATTGAGAAACCTAAAAAATTAGATTTTTGTTAGACTAACTAAACCAATTCAAGCTTCTTACCCTCGTAAAAAAAGAAAAAAAACGAGTGTCCCTCTTAATTTCATACTCCGAAATAAAGTGAACTTTCTTACCATCCACATAACAAAATTTAGACACAATGTTTTACAAAAACATTGCAGATTCAATTCATATTAGATATATAATAACTCAAAGAGCATCACATATATGGAATAAAGTCAAGCTGATGGGAATAAGATTTTTTCCTTTTTATCCTGCGTTAATTGAAAGAAAATCCAAAAAACTAAATCAACTCTTTATAAACTTAAGGGTCTGCAATATATCATGATCTAATGTTGTCGTTATTCTTCTTGAGCAACTCCTCGTTCATCTCTTTGTTGTTGAAATCCTGCAGAGAAAAAATATAAAATGTTGCTTAATGTGTGGAAAAGGAAGGTAGAAATTAATGTCAACGCTAATTAATTATTAATGACCACCGCATTCACTTACCAACTCCTCCAGCTACTGCTTGTTCTAAGCCATACTTGTTCATCCTCAAAACTTGGAAGAATCACATGTCATCTCGTCGATAATCATATAGATAATTAACCCAAGATTAACGATCTTCTTATTTCTTCAAAGACCTCAGAGTTCTAGAAAAATATCATTGTGACACCACATACCAAGCCATAAGCAGACCATTCGCAATGTTGAACCTAGAGAAAATTCAATCTCTCTCATTATGTTTCTCCGAAAGCATAGTTCATATGAGAAACTCACTTCTCATGTAAACAAAGTATAATATTTGCTACTCATCAACTTCATAACATGTCTTCCTCTATCATATGTGAATCTCTATCGTCACTATCCAAAAAAGCTCGGTTTAAAATCCTAAATCTGTTGATACTAAGCACTCAACTTCAATATCAAAATACTTTTTTTCACTTATCACTAACTGAAAATTTCAACTTCAATCGGATTAGGGGCTTACTCCAATAAAGCCGAGTCTTTGCCTCAAAAATACTACTAAAATTTGAAAATTGCATATTCAATTAAATTAATAATTGAAACGAATTAAAAAAAATACAATAACGACATCATATCCAATGTAATCCATAAGTGAGTTCTATGGAGCTTAATAACACTACCTCACAGAGGTAATGAGAGATCCTAAGTGCAACAAATAAAAATATTCTACAGAAGAAAACATGTCAATTAATAAGGAAAAACAGTTCAACAACATCCAAAGAAAACAAACAAAAGAGATTTTTTTTTAAAAAGGGAGGGGGGGAGCAGAGTAAGGCAGTAAAGAAGAAAGAAGAAAATTAACATATTAGAAAAACAAACCTAATCATCACTATATAGCTTACGTAGAAACCAATTGACAGAACTAAACAAACAAAAATACAACACTCCTCTAAAATTTCTTATATGAAATGAACAGCTTTCAAGTTATAAAATTATATAGAAATAAAACTCTAGCATTGAGATATAAATCTCTATCCTGACAATAAAACGACTTTGAAAATATACGGACATTAAGATATAAATCCTTATTCTAACGATACAACACAAACGACTTTGAAACCGTACCAACATTGATTTATAAATCTCAATTCCGGCGATACAAACTCTTTACTTCTATGAAGCCGGATGTAAGCTTATGTCCTACTGATCTTACTCAAAAAGAGTCAATGGGAGTAGAGAAGTCCAAATTAGCAGAAGTCCTGATTTTTCAAATTGTTGATGGACCTGGGCCAACCAAGGTCCATTAGCTCATCCAGACATGGAATGACATAAGCCATAGTCGCACATAGGTCAGAGAGATCAGTCAAAAAAATTATAATATACAGAGAGAATTCTATACAAAGTATTGAAACCATAGCAACATTGAGATATAAAGTTGTATCCTGGTGATCCGAAATGAACGGGTCTTTGACATATAAAATTTAATCTGACTGCTTCTCTCCCAATTTAACATTCTACTCCTCTAAAGTATTTCTGGGAAAAAAAACCTTTTTGGAAGCAGAGGATTATTAAACTAAAGTTTGATCACTGAAATCCAGGGTTTGTAGGGTGATGGCTTTGAGGCGTATGCTTGGGTTTTCGGATGAGATAGATAATATTAGTCAAACTGATTATCACAAAGTGAAATATGACAAAGGAGTAGATAGGAAGATACAATGCTTGCACCTCTGATTTGAGTTAGCAAGGTCTGAATATTCTAGGGAAAACGGACAAATAAACCCCCTGAACTTTCGAAAATTGTATGTCAAACCCTTCGTCATACTTTTTGTCCATGAGTACCCTCGTCGTCCAATAACTAGTTCACTTGCCCCTCCCACTAACGGAAGACTAATTTTGTACACGTGAAGACTCATTTTGCACACGTGGTACAATCCTACGCCTTAACCCAAATTTCAAGTACTCATTTAACCCACCCATTACCCATTTAACAAAATAGCTACAAACCTTTAAAAAAAAAGGCCCATTCACTTTTATCTCTACTTCTTCCTCTTTAGGTCATTGCCGTCCCCATCCCCTCTTATTCTTCTTCTTTTATCTTTCCATATACTTTCTCAATCATCTACTTGATGATCTAAACAAAAGAGATCGGGAATCCAAAGCATCTATTTCTGCAAAGAAAAAAATGTCACGCTAAAATCTTGAAGAATACACTCAATCACTTTGCTTTGGATAAAGTTTCTGCAAATTAAATTAATTAACATCATCGAACAGGGAAAAAATAATTAGAGTAATTGAAAAATTCACGTTTCATTGGAGATAAAACATAATCAGATCAAGACATTGCAATCTATTTATTTGCATTATCTGCTACTTCTATGTCCTATTAAATTAAAAAAAAAAAGAGGTAGAATTATTTCAAAGAAAAAAACGAACACCATTAAAATAAAAATATGGGATTCCAAGCTAATACAGCTTATGTTTCTTCCCCAAATGGAAACAAAGTTCTGGAAAGTTTCTGGAATCTTCTTCTTAACTAAAATCAAAAAACAAATTCAAATCTTCAACCCCACAATTCCAAAAACTCCGATTCAGATTCAGATTTCAACACATGTTCAAGATTTCTACGTGGAGTCTCGAACATGAAATCAAATTTTGATGTGGGTAATGGGTGTATCGGGTGAGTTAAATGGGTAATGGGGCAGGTTAACCGGTATTTGAAATTTGGGTTAAATATTTATATTTGATCAACCTAGGGTGAGCCGTAGGATTGTGCCACGTGTACAAAATGAGTCTTCCGTTAGTGGGAGGGGAAAATATGCACCAGTTATTGGACGGCGAGGGTATTCATGGACGAGAAGTATGACACAAGATATTGACATCCCATTTATTAAAGTTTGGAGATATATTTGTCCCAATATTCTAATACATCTCCAAACAAGCTAGCTAATCACGATTACTTAAGTTTCTCATTCATAGAAACATCTCCAATATTGACAAGTATAACTACAAAATGTAGTTATAAAGAAATATACAAATTTTAACTTTGTTTTCAATACCGACTAACAAGGGAAGTGATTAAAGCATAATCCTAAACTTTATCAAAAATAAATGACAATTTCTCATCACCTACTCTAACAATCACAAAAGATTATTTTTTAAAAATAAAAAGGCAAAGCATCTTCATTACACAATCAAAAACCAATTCAGTGCAAAATCAAGAACTCCACAAGCTTAATAAAATTAAGATAAAGACACAAGCTTTGAGCGAAAACATGAAAGAATCAAAGATCATACAAATCAATCTAAAGAAAGACAACCAATAGAAACCCGTAATATTATTACACAAATACCCTCTTCTTCTTTTTTAAAAAGGGAGAAGACTTGAATTTTTATTGTGTATAACAAATTTATTTTTACCTTTTCTTTTAGTTTTAAAATATTTTCGACGTTGTTATAATCTTAAGTGTTGTTGAAAATGTTGGAATCTAATTGTGGCCCTTCATTAATTAGCTTCTAATTGTGGCCTTTAATTCCATCAATATGTTATTTTCACGTATTTTATTTCAACCAAGCCTCTGACATTTTTAACAACACTCAAGATTATAACAACGAAAATATTTTTTAACTAATAAAGAAGGTATAACAAATTCGTTCTACACAATGATATGAAAAATTTAATCATTCTCCCTATAATTATTTTATTATTAAGAAAAAGAAGATGTCTGTGCAATAATGTTTCAAGCTTTATTCATAGTATTTCTTTTGTTTGATTTGTATGTTTTGTTTCTTTCATGTTTTCGTTTTAAGCTTTTTTATCTTAATTTTTATTTTTCTCTCTTTTAAACTTGTGTAGTTCTTGATTTAGAACTGAAATTGGTTCTTGCTGGTGTAGTGAAAATGTTGTCTTTTATTTTTAAATCTTTTGTTATTGATTTTTAAGATAAAGGCTTGCGATTGTGTTTTAATCATTTCCTTGTTAATTGACATTGTAAGCAAAGTTGACATATGTATATTTCCCTATAACTAAATTTACATGTCCATATGAAATGTTTCGATGAATGAAAAATTTAAGTAATCGTGACTAGTTAAGCCCGTTTGGTGAATGAATTAAAATATTTAGACCTTGTTAAATCTATATGATGTTATAGTCTAGGCAGAACATAATTTGTGATTATTTGTTGAGAGAACAAATATTTAAATGATAGTTTATGTAGGATTGTGAAAAGAAAACAGGATGGGTATATCTTGACAAATAATTAATACTTGGTGTATCTTCACTCTCAAATCAGCACCATCAAACTCAAACACACACATCCATCGAAAACTGTTGGATTTGGGAGACTAGTATTTTCGAGTTTCTCGCTGGAGTGGTATCTTGCAACAACCTGTACTGGGATAGAGAAACTTGACTCCAAGAAATTGTATTGGGAATTAATAGATGAGATCGTTGCAGATCTATTTTGAAAAGCACAATCTCACCTTTATAGCTAATTCTCGTAGCTCCAATATTGAAGGTCAAACTCATTGCCTTTTAGTGGATCCTATATATAATTGTTACTGGGAGAGATTCGATTTCAGACTTGTAATTGAAAGTTTTAACATTGAGCGTAAAAGAATCTAAACTATTAATATCTTTTAGAGGAACAATAAAATTTGGAAAACAGTCAAAGTAAATAGGACCGCTGCGGAGATTGATTTCTACAATTCCTAAGAGGGAATCATTGAAGTCTGAGAACCTTGAGACTCTTAGACAGATAAGAAGTGAGATATCTAGACCTTTTCTAGAAAGAAGTTTAGTTCTGATCTGGACAAGCCCAAAATGAAGATAGTTATATTTTTCTAAAGCTTTTGGATTTAAAAGCTTCATATCCACATGATCCAACTACAGAGGGATAGTTTGTTTGATAGCTGAGATATAGTTGTCACTGGTTAAAGGCAATCTGGAAGATTTATAGATGGTAAATTGGGGATGTTTTGGGATTTTCTCGTCGTCAATTGATTATTGCAAATCTGAGAAGCCAATCTCTTCTTTGGGCTTAGAATGGGAGGAAAATGGTAGAATATATCGTGCCAAAAGAAGAAGTTTAAGAGGAGGAAGAGAAGAGAGTGAGGGAAGACTTAATGAAATCTGCAAAACAGTCACGACAAATAACAATAAACAACAATAATGACTTTAATGCTCCCCGTCCTTGGATCAATAGACCATTGAGTTCCATAAAGAAAAACATTCAAGTTCTTAACTCAATACTATACAGAAGAGTCGGATCTGTTAGTTAAATTAATGAGGTCCTGTCTCAATTTTATAAGCAAAGGCTATATGTTTTATATCAAGAAGTTCTTTAATTAGATGAACAAAGGCTATTAATAATCATCTTACAGTCCACTATCTATAGTGTATAGATCTAAATAGATCACATTATCATCCACATTAAGATCTTCCTATTATAAGGTCTCAAATAAATGGGAGTGAATTATTTTACATCCACTAAATTATACAAAGTTATTGTTTCAATATGGTAAATCATAAACGATGTTGTGCGTAAACTTCTATATATAGTATTTTATAGATACTTTTGATGTTATGTATTAATGCATGAAATTTATTGCTGCATAAGTGCAATAACTTCGTCCTCTTTGTAACCATGTAATCATTGTGTAGCTTATATACTAGTCTAGTAAAGTTGTTGTGTCTAAATTATTTTAACATTAATTCAATAGTTTCCAAATGTTTCAGGACTCTTCCTATTTTGAATTAATCTGAAACTTATCACTGAAAGAAAGTTCAAATCATAACTATATCCCAGAATAGTTGGCAGTGCAACACTCCAATCCTTCTACCATCCTTATTATAAATTAACAAATTGCAAGTGTCATTCTAATATCGAGAAAACCAATCGCACCCATAAAGAAGTGCACTTAGCAGCTTATGATGATAGAGAAACTAACTCGGACTAAGGACTAATCAAGAATGGCGCCAACAAACAATCATATAATTTTTCCGGGGACAAGATAATTCTAGTAGATGCAAAACCTCTAAGAAGCTTCTAATGAAAAGAGACTTATATGGAGAGCAGAATGGACTTACATCCAAAGACATTGCTTCTATGTTTTTCGGAAGCATGCAACATAAAAATGCTGGTTTGAAGCAAATAATTATTCCGTGACTCACGAACCTTTAATATTTGACTTCTTGTAGTAATGAGCAGTATTTGCAGCCTCGTGTTTGCTATCCACCTGTGGACATAAAGTAAATTGACTTTCAAGAACTGAAAATATCTATAAGAAAGAAAGTAAAGAGCATCAATGAGAGACGATAACTTACTACAGATTAATTGACACTTACCTTCAGATGACAATTAGCCAAATTTAACATATACTGCTCCAGCATTATCCCCTGAAAGAACCAGGTAACAAAAAATTATTCTGGAATTTTCCAAGCATGCAACTAGGGTGATTGAATATATGAAACAGTGAGCTTTATTTAAGAAGTTTATTCACACTTTTATACCATTAAAAAAATTATGTTCATCTTATACAATTTAAAATCTAAAATTGGAGAAAATGGTATTTTTTCAGTCAACAAATTGAATCAATTCTGTCTACAAAATTGGCCTATATACCAAGCTATGAGCAAGTTATAACTCATTCAATCATCAAGTAAGAACAAAATCTGCTCGGCAAATAAATTAATGATGCAGTTAATTAAAAAATAATATACTAAATAACAATCTTCCCAAATGCTCCAACAATAAATTTAATTAATCAAATCCAACAAAATTTTACACAAGTTTGCAGGCTTTGCTAATAACTTGGACCAAACAAAATTAATATGAAAGATCGTCTGATGAGAATATATATGTTATTTTATACAGATTTTCACACAATAATTTGGAACCAGCAATTCATACAATGATGTTTGGTCTGAATGAGAGATGAAATCTTAAAACAGAAGCTGAGTAGGATCACCAGATTATAAATTCAGGGATTCAAAAAAATAAAATCAGATCTTAGTAGAACGAGAAACAACCATGTAAAAAATGAACTAACATGAATCGGCGAGTTTAAAGCAATTGACATCTTTATCGAACAGATCAGCGGCGTCTTCGAATTTGGAGCCGGAAAGGGCCAATTCGCCGAGATTCTTCTCAGGCTTGCTCGAAATCTTCAGATCCCCCATTTTTGGTACCTTTGTTTGGACTAATCTGGAAAATGAAGAGAAAAGAAAGTATAAGAAGAGCCCGCTTTCAGGCGTTGGATGGGCTTTATCCTTTTTTTTTTGGGTCAATAGCATTTAATAGTATTAGTCATGTTTTAAATAAGGAAAATTATGTTATTCCTTCTATTTAATAAGGAAAATTATATTATTTCTTCAGTTTCAAAAAGAATGATCTTTTTTCTTTGTTAGTATAAATTTAAAAAAACACTTTTTTCTTTTTTGATAATCACCTTCCACGTGTCATGTTTAAGACTACAAGATTAAAGGATAATTTTGTACATTTGACATAACTTTGATTTAGGACCACATGATTAAAAGTCTTTTTTATTTTCTTAAACACTGTGTCAAGTCAAACTACATCATTCTTTGTGAAATAGAGGGAGTATTACTTAATTAGTCATCATAGTTTGCTATAATTATCACTCATTACTGACATTAATCATTAATTATGTGGACTGACTTTGAACTTATATAATTAGTCACATTTGTATAATTCGCAACAAATAATTGTTTATTTGATTTGTATTTGTATATGATTATTTGTATTTGTATATGATTATTTCCTTTTGTTTTTCAGTTTTATCACCATCTACATTCAATCTTTTTGTGTATAACTTTTTAAAATTTGTATAAACATGTAGTTTTCAGATTTTGTATGATATAATTTATGTTATTTAATTTAAATAATATATTTTTTGTTTAAATTCATATGTTTATGCTTGTATCAATTCGTTATTTCCAGTTTTTATCATATTTGTATAATTTTAGACTTTATATTACTTAATTATACAAAAAATACACGCGAATTATACTGACGTACCACCGAATTATACAAATTATTTCCCTCTCACTCTCGCCTTTCTCCTACTTCTTCAATCTCGCTTGTCTCTCCCTTCCTCTCCCAATCTCACCAGATATACAAATATATATATATATACCATCTCATATATACAATTATCTAACTGATATACATATACAATTCACCTCTTTCCCACTCTCTATCCTCTTTGTCTCTCTCGACTCTCTGCTCCCTATTCCAATCTCGCTCGTCACTCTCCTCGCTACAACATGTAGCTACGAATTATAATTAGCAAATTATAGTTATGAAACGTAATTAAGTTATTTTTGAGTGCCTTTGCAAAAGTTGTCCTTTAAAATACTTATTAAAAATGTCAACATTTGAGTTTTTTTATATATCTGATTATGTAATTTTTTTTAATTAGCTTAATTTGAAGAATACAATTATTCAATAACAAAGTAGAAAAACGCAGTTAGGCAGTCTTCCTAGCTTTAGGGTCAATCGAATAGATAGAAAATCTAGCGGGGAATATCTTTAAAAGGGAACATATCACTTGAACTTCTCATCAATTACAATTTCAAAGAGAAAATGATAGTGGATCCCCTTTCATTGTTTCTTAGATTTCCAAAGTATCGAAGAGATCCAAAATTTATCTCCATGTTCATCGAAGTCGTCTCAATTTAATTCAAAATTATCGAAATGAAATCCAAAATTCTTTTCAATTCATCGAAGATCCTTTAAATTTTAAATTCAAAATTATCAAAACTTTTGACAAGGTACTTCATGAATATCTTCGTTAGTTTATACTTAGAGGTGAAGAAACATGAGTCAGAATTTGCAATGTATTTATTATGCATTGATACAACAGACAAAAAGACGTAGAGATGTTGTCTAGTCAATTTTATGATGTATTATGTTAAGATGGATATGTTACTCATGATACATTGCTATTAAAATATTTGGCAAATTGTTAAGTATTATATTGCCCATAAGGTATTTGCTTTAAGATTGATAAATTACTGTGCAGTAATTATTACATATCAAATACATGTTGTAGTTTGTCACAAACAGGGAGCACCCCCTAGTCGTAACTGGCGTCATCGTCCTTGAAGAGGACTTAGACTAGCTCTTAGCATTCATCATTACATATCATAGGCAAAAAACACAGAAAAATTAACACTTTTTACATATACATACTGAGGTTCGCATAGACCTCTCGCATACTACATATAGGGAGTTTACATAGACTACTCACATAGGAAGCTTACTTAGGATTCTCTTCTAGACAACATAACCAATACATAAAGAGGTAGTCTAATAACCTTGTCTCACATTAACCATCTAAAGGAGTACAATTGTTGGACATAGCCAATACAAAGTCAATATGTCATTATAGGTTTACATCAATGTTTCAAATGATAAAGGAATGAACAATGTGTTTATGATGATACAACTTTAAAGCTTGAATATGAAAAAGGTAACATCCTCGAACATTGAGGACCTACCAACACTTGGAGAAACTAGTTCAAGCCTTCTTGCTTTAGCCTCAAGATACTTCAATGGCCGAACCTACATTGTTTAGGAAAAGAGAAGAAATATGGGTTAGCACAAACCACATGTACTAAGTATGGTTCCTATGCATAAAATCATCAATGAATGAGAAAAAGCACAATTCAGTCAAAACTATGTTTAGTGTCAATTAACCCAACATACACATATATGGAACATCATAAGTCAACCCAATCTATGAGCAACTCAAGAAACAAATGTGCAATGCCAAGAAAGGACCCTATAACCCTATCCAAGCTAAGTATCACCTTGACCCACCCACTTCATGCATACGTCATAATTTCATATTTGATCATAACATACTTACTTCATAAGATTATATATTTCTTCTCACACATATAGCATATAATCAACTTAAACATATAAGAACACTACTAAGGTCATCCCTTAGGATCATGCATGTGTAATGTACAACAGAAGTCACATACCCTTTCTCGCACTATGTTTTCCTTTAATACAACCCTAATAATAGTTAACATACTTAACTTGTCCATTTACTTTTATTTTAGGGAAATAAGTACCATAACCAACATAAGACCATGTGAGCTACGTGGAATCCGGAGTTTCCCACACCAAAAAGAGAGGATTAACACTTGCCTAAGGTGTAATCAATCATACTAGCTATCTAAGTGGATCCACTAAGCTATAGTCCTATGTTGACACATAGTTAAGGGTCAAGGAGATTGCTACAAGAAACCTTGACTTGCTAGACGTGGAGGTTTCCATCTCATGAGACAACACATATATCGGGAATCCGGACTTATTAGACGTGAAGAAACCCATGTGGGAGGCAAGACTTAATAAATGTGAGACCTCCGTCTCATTTACATGTCCTTTCGGTGCTGTTTTTATTCCCTTTAGTAACAATCTTATTTCATCATACAAGTTTACATTAGTCTCTTCTAGACTCCTTTACATAATAGCACATAGGTCATCACAAGTGAGAACAATCCTTTCACATTGGAAACCACTAGTCAAGTGATTAAACCTTTCACTTAACACTTCATTATAATCATGAGTATCTACCTTCAATTATATAATAATCACATTTCACTTAACACTCCATTATAATCATGAGAACCTACCTTCAATCATATAATAATCACATCATAACATGTACACATACTTCATGGCTAATTCAATTGTCTAGGTTAAGGATGAGGCATACTTGTCATCAACATCAGAACCATACATTAGTCATAAGAGTATTACTATCTAACCGTCTCATATTTCATAATTGAATTCAAGGAGAATCAATCTTCATACCTTCTTGCCCTTTCATTGCCTCAATACTTCAATTACCAAATAATACACAATCATTGCACAAACAAGGTAAAATCAAGAAGTAATACATAACAATTAGCATTCTACATTATCATATATTCATAATCTTCCATAATTACCATAGGAATTTAAGACATAAAGTGTTTAGGGAAGAACAAGGGTTCAAGGAACAATCTTAACAACATTTGACCATTAATATTTAGTTAAACAATGATAAAATACTATAACTCATCATAATTGAATAACAATTTCGTTTAGAAAAGAGAACCCATGTCTAGAGTGAAAACCTAGTCTTGGAAGGTTTGAAAATCATAGTTGAAGAAGCCTCTTTGGGAAAGGATTCCCAAGAGTGGAAAAAACCATACCTTAGTGATGATCTTGCCACGAATTTTAGGTGAAATCCTTGGTCAATTCGTCCTCAACTTGGAGACCTAGTGTTCCTTCAATAGAGGTTTGGGTTTGGGAAAAAAGAGGTCAGAGAGATGTTAGAGAGATGTGGTTTTTGGGAATTAATGAGGTGTTGGGTGAGTTAGTTGGCCTAGATTACTTATATAGTCCTTAATTATAAACTTAATTAATTAATTAATCAATTCCTTAACCACCCCCAACTAAAACATTTTTGTACAGTGAAGGGGGTCTCAAAAGGACAAATCCTCAACGACGCCACCTAGCTCGATCGACACACCCATACTACCACTCTGTCATTAGTGACAAAGAGGGGGTTTTGGAGCTTCCTTGGGATTTCGACTAAGTGTCAACCCACGTCCCCAAATGACGGAGCGGCGTCCAATCGATGACTCATCGTTGGTGGTCGTGGTTGCACACTGTCACTTGGGAAGTTTTTGGGATCAAAGGATGGGTACTCTTCAAGGACCGATAGGGTGGTCTGTGGGGAGTCGAACCTGGACATTTTGACCTTAAACACACTCTAATATTTGTTTAACACCTTCCTACCAATTTTCATTAGAATCTGACTCTTAAAACCAATTGAAACATGTCAAGGCACACTAACCTCAATTTTCCTAGTCTCTGGACGCATGGACGTTTCTTGACGTTTTGACTCTAAAACTTCCTAATTAATTTTTTATATATTATTTTAGGCCTATAAACAGTGTATCAAGCCTTAGTTCATCATGTGAGGATCTAAGCCAAGTCATGGACTTTAGGAGTTCACATTATCCCCCCTAAGGAACATTTTTCCCCGAATGACACTGAAATATTTTGGAAGGAAAAGGATAGACTCAATACTAGCAGCCACAACAACAACAACATAAAAATCATCATGAGTCACAACTCATTGGAGTACTTCACAACTCCATTCAATACATATCTAAAAACATTACACATAGCAACTAAATTCATAATGCACAACATATAAGAGCTCAACATTTCTTAACACATAATGAGGAACTACC